GGCATGGGAGGTATTTTCCTACCTGTATCTCAGGAAATAGGGACACTGGGGAAAGGCTGTTGCTTGTCTCCAGAAAGCAAGTGTGAAACCAGAGGTTTTTATTTATTTATTTACTTATTTTTAAGTTAAATCTTACATAAAGTTGAAAAGGAAACATTACAATTTCAGTGGCCAGGGGTGGTGGCACATGCCTACGGTCCTGCCTCCTCAAGACGGTGAAATGGGGGGAGTTCAGGAGCAGCCTGGACAATGTACTGAGAGCCCGTAAACAGACAAACAAAAATCTCAAGGACTATTTTCAGTCCTTGCAGGTGAATTTATTACATAATGATGTGTAGTGAAGGCAAATGGTCCAATCAGAATAAAGCTGTGTAGAACTGGGCCTGGTTTATATAAACTCAAGTTCAGAAAACTGGCGAGGCAAAAGGTTAGACTTGTTTCCTGGAATATAATTTGAAACCACAAGTGATTGGGTGTTCTGCTATCTTTGGCCTCTGAGAGTTACCATCGCACACAAAGCTCGCCCTTGTTCCAGGGTATTACTAGCGCCTCCAAGGGGTGGGGAATAGCGGGGAGGAGCCCACTGCATCCAGTTTAGCGTGTGAACAGCTGATGAGAATGCCACGGCTGGCAAGGTGGGACTTCAGTAACCCTGGGGGAGTGTCAGAGTTGAGGAATCGGAATGTGGATTCGATATGATAAAGTTGCCAAGTCCATTTCTGTTCCTTTGTATCTCTTCTTGCCTGTGGCCTGAAGTGATGTACAGGGTTCAGGCCTCTTTCCAAGGCTCTTTGGTTTGCCTCATGTGAGTATCTGATTGGTGTAGAGAAATTCCTTTGAAGGATAGACGGTTTCCTGATGTTTTGGAAAAAGATCATCAGTCTCTCCTGATCAAGACGTCCGGAACAGGACAGGTGGGGGCGTGATCTCTAGCTTCCAGGAGGAGAAAGTCACAGGCCATCGTGCCATGGGCAGAGATGCTGGATGTAAGGTGGACAGACCTTCTGGGCCCATGAGGGAGGACAGCAGAAGAGCAGACCAGAGTGGTAGTGGCCCCTGGCCTCCTGGATGTCTTCTGTACATGCTGATGCAAGTGCACCAGTGAGTGTCTGCAGGAGCATAGTGTGCAGCCTAAACCCAGATCATTCATAGCTTTCTGGAGCAACAGATGGATTGGAGGTTGGGTATCTTAAACGGGTGTCCACTAAGGCTTGTGTCGCCACCTTTTAGGACGCTCAGAGACTGCAGACGATGATGTCAGCCTGCAGAACAAGCATGGCTGAGCTGCTCCACACCCTCCGCCAGGCTCCATACCTCATCTGGCAGGGCAGGTCGCAGGAGCCTAAGAGCCGGTGCTTTATTTCCTGCTCACTGAGTACACTCAGGACTCTCAGGCACCCTCAGTGTCTCTACCACAGTGTCATATGGACTCAGCTGGGCTTACTTCGATCTGTGAAGGACTTGGGCTTTGGGGGGGATCAGTGTGATCTCATGAGCTGATTTCATCTCTTACCGGCCTTGTCTAGAGACACAAGACCAGGGGTGCTGACCTGAATCCCTCCCATCTGGGTCAGTGGCAGCCCTGCATGTAACCCCTGCCCCTCCCATGAATCTGATCCCAGGTGGCTGGTGACAGGTGTCACTGAGAAGGGAGGCTGAGAGTTAGCATCACTGGCTGCTGGGCTGCGGAAAAGTGCACTGCAGAGATGAGCCAGAGGAGCTGATGTGTGTTGCCTCCCTGGTGTCTGAGGGAACAGAAGCCCAACCCATAATCCCGCCTCCACGCTGCTCTCCTTTGCTCTCTGGAAGCATCCGATAAGCAGCATCACTATTCCTCATTCACACTTCAAAGAAATGGTACCTCTGGTGGCCCAAGAGCACAAGCAGCCAGAGCAGACGCGTGACACTCAGTTTGCAATTAATCATGAGCTCTCAGTGTGGCCTTCTAGGGTCACTTTCCTCTTTCCGATGGAAAGAAATCTTTCAGACCCTCCATATGTCACACTGGGCTCTCCTATCTTGTTAGTGGTTTGTTTTGGTACCGGGGATCGAACTCTGGTCCTTGAGTTTGTGAGGCAGGCAGCAGAACCACTGAGCTAAATCCCCGGCAATGGTTTGGTTTTTTTTAATCAGCCACTCTGATGGCCCGCAGCTTGGGTTCTTGTTGCTCCAGCACTGATAGTCAGCCAGTGAGGCTACTCTGGTTGCTGCATTTAGTCTCCTTCCTTAATTGCCCTCTTAGCTGCCTGCCACTCCTCTTTCTCTTCACCTCTGCATCTATAGGGCTTTGTGGTGTCCATTCCTGCCTGACGGGTGCAGAGCATTTGTCATCCAGTGGCCCCTTAAGCAGGACTCCACTCAAGGTTCCATTCTTCCTCCTGACTCGAGGGTGGTTCTAGGCAGACTCTGTCCTGAGTTTAGTGAGCCCTGGCTCTCGGCCTTCCCCTGTTCTGTCCCAAGACCCAGGCAGGTCGCCTTGACTTAGTGTCTTATTTACAGTTCCAGCCAGGAATGACCAGTGACCGCCCTAGTGGCCTTGTGCATCTCAGGGGTACCCCAGTTCACACACTGCAGTCTTCAGGGGAGCTTATTTCTGCAGATCCTTGTCATTTTTACTCTTATTATTTCTGTGCAGTACACATGATCGTAATGCCAGTTTTCTAAGTTAACATGGAGAAAGATTGTTCAGGATATATTTAAATTGCTGTAGAACTAGCAACAATTTTCCATGGTTTGTGAACTTTGAAAAATGTGCTAACCTTTGTTTATATTAAATTGAAGGGCTTTTTATGCTCTACTTCCCCTTAGATTAATTTCCATGACAGTTGACAGCTTTTCTTCGCCCTGTTCCTCCAGTTCCACTTCAGCTTTTTTTTGAGATGATTCCTTTTTGGTTTTTTTGAGACAGGTTCTCGCTGTTAGTTCAGCCTGGCCTTGAACTATATAGCCCAGGCTGGCCTTGAACCTGCCTCAGCCTCCTGAGTTCAGGGGTTGTAGGTGTGCACCGTCACTTCTAAAGTCTCTGCCTCGAGTGCTTCTCTGCCTCCTCTGTCCACTCACGTGTTCCCTTCCTTGTCTTCACCTCTGTCCCTTCCATTTCCCTAGGACACTGTGTCCTTGGAAAAGCTTGTTCATAGAGCCCACTTTATTTAATATTGGAACCTCAGGGCTGCCTTCAGTCACGAGAAAAAACACCAGCCATGGAGTCCATCTCCCCCTCGATGCGGTTCAAAAACTCAGCAAATGCTGCTTTTGACTATTTCATATCCTCTGGTAACCTCTTCCCCTTTAAGCGTTGATTGTTGTCATATCTGTGTCACACTTTATTCACTTTTGGATTCGAATTCTGAGAACAGTGGTTCTAAACCTAGGGCACTTAGCAGTCTCACAGCGCTTGCAGGAGAGAGCCCCTCGTGGCATCCTGGGAGATGGTGAGGCCTGGCATGGAGCTGTGAGGCTTCCTGTGGGCAGCCCGCAGGTGAGAGTGCTGCAGGTGCTGTCCTGACCACCAGGAAGTGGTGGGGCAGCGACCAGGGCGCACACAGGGTGGAGGAAAACTGCAGCATGTGTTTATTACGGTGAGAGACACATTGCCACCCCCAGCACTCCTCGTCTTGAACACACCCCATCGTTCCTGCCGCTTTCTGAAGCGGTTCTGGAAGTCATTTTTTCTGAGTGTCTTTTCATGGCTGTCTTTATGTCCTGAATCAATTTAAAATGTGGATGGCAATTTCTGTCAGATAAAAACATCACGATGCATCCTCATTCACCTTATTCACCAGAGCTGGCACAGTGAGATTTCTGGCTCTTTCCTAGAGTGAAAATGACCATGAAAAAATGAACACTTTGAGTTGATTCAGGACCTTGAGGCAGCTACAACAGCTCAACTAAAGACACTCATGAAAGAGGACTTTCAGAACTGTTTCAGAAAATGGCAAGGATAGTGGGGTGAGTGTGTTTGAAGTGAGGGGAGTTAATGGTGATACGGTAATAATTTATTTGAACATTCATTGTATTTTTAAATAACACTAATCAGGAGTTTTATGATGAGCCAGTCACTTTCTGGGCCCAACATAGCAGATTTGGGAGTAGAGCTTGAATCAGATTGCCAGAAGTAGCAAATAAAAATGACAGGATGCCTGGTTGGATTTCAGATAAACTTGAATTTTTTGGTGGAAGTACATCCCTACCTAGAAGTTATTCATTGTTTGTCCAAAGTTGATGTTTCATGGGTCATCTTCTGTTTTATCTGACAGTCTATTTGTGATTGGCTGTCCCACAAAATTGCTCCAGGAAAATGCTGTGTAGTTTTGTTCAAATACCCATCTGGATACTAAAGACCCGGAGCTTACAAAGTGAAAACTCAGAGCACACATACTTGCTCCGACTTTTGAACTGGTATTTCAAACTGTATCCCAAACTGTCCAGTTTAGGCTCAAGGATGTACCTGAGGTTATAAGAGCTAAAGAAATGTCTTGATTGTGTTTGGAATGATTATAAACCCACTGACCTGTACTACACAGGGGGCTGCTGTGCCCACAGATTACATGTCACAGGAAAGCCACTTGTATGTGTTGCTAACTAGCAGTGCATTTTTTAAAAAAATCTGCACATGAAGGTTCTAGAAAAATAAAAGGCTTTGTGAAACTGTGTACATGGTTTAGAATTAGAATTCAGGTTCCACTGCCTGCTCCGCAACCTTGGGCCAAGTACTTAGTCTTTCAGTGCAAGAAATGTTTTTATTCATGAAATGGAGGTAATGCCTACCATGAGGGAAGGAAGTTGGATGGTATACGAGAGCAAGGCATTGTCATACTTTGGTATTTTAATCTAAATGTCACAGAGTGATTTGACTAGGAAGGTAAGCATTTAGCCCATGTCTTTCGGTCAGGTGGGGTTAGCAAAGTATATGTTTTATACAGGAAAAGTCTGCTTTTAAATAATTGCAGTTGACTTCCCACTAATGACTTCTCTGTCTTCTCAACCTTCTCCCCGCCTAGGATTAACGCAGGTTCCTCAGATCCAAAAGACTGAAATTTCCTTTCGTCCTGCTGACCCCAAGAGCTTCGAGGCTTATGTGCTGAACATAGTGAGGTTCCTGGACAAGTACAAAGAAACGGCCCAGAAGGATGACATGATCTTCGAGGACTGTGGCAGTAAGTAGTCATTGCAGATGCCTGTGGCTAGTTTTTCTTTTTCACTAATTCTTATTTCCTACTTGGTTTTCATTTTATTTTATTTTTTTATTTATTTATTTATTTATTTATTTATTTATTTTATTTCATTTATTTTTGGTGCCAGGGATTGAAGTTGGGTCCTTGCCCTTTGCGAGGCAGGTGGTGGAACCACTGAGCTAAATCCCCAGCCCTCCTACTTGTTATTTATTAATTGAGAGATACTCCTGAAATAATTGAAAGATTGAACTCTGGCCATATTAAGAAGATACTTCTTTTTTTTTTTTTGAAAGGTGTTACACTTAAAAATACTGTCAGACACTGTGTAGACCCAAAGACCACAGGTAGAGTTTTATTTCTTATACTCACGGAGAAGTACAACTGCTTCTTTCCAAATCCTCCTCCTAAAATCTTTCCCTGCCAAAGAGTGTGCAGGTCCCTTTCTACCCATGAGGACCCCTATAATTAGCTACACCACACTGGTATTGCTGGAGGAGTTACATTCTGGCATATTTTATATTATAGGCCCTGTTTGGCCCTGACTTATGCAGCTGAGCATTATGGATAAGGAGATGGATTGTGAAAGATAAAGAATAGGTCTAGGCCCAGCTCTGTGGCAGAACACCTACCTGGTGTGTGCGAGGCCCTGGGTTACGTTATTAAGTAAATGACATGAATACATTTCCTCCTCTGTTACCTGGAGACTTAATTTCCCAGGTATGTTCTATATCTACCAAAAACCCGCAAAAGATCTCACTCTTAGATCTAGATGATGCCAGCTGTTCTTTATATGGAAGACTAGAGTTTGGTCATAATTTTAGACTAATTGCCATTTTAAATCATTTTGGAAAGACACACATTTAAAGGAAACATTTTCACTGTGAGTTTTTCTTACAGAATTTCAACAAGATTTTCATCTTATGCGATAGTAATTTAAAAAGCCCAGGGCTGGGGATTTAGCTCAGTGGTTTGATGGCCTGCCTTGCAAGCACAAGGACCTGAGTTCAATCCCCGGTACAATAAAACAACAAAAAAAACCAAATAAAAAATAAAAAGCCCAAATGATAACAAGAGTGAATAACCTCACGGGAGTATTAAATTTTCAAGCATTTTACCATTTAAAGGGATAATATTAAACTTTTAAAAAAAAAGTTAAAATAATAATTACAATAAATTGTAAATGTTAATACTGCTATCAGAAATAGGTAAATACTTGCATCATTTTCCTGCAGAATGTTATATCTTAACTTTGAATTCTATATTCATTTAGTGCTTTTTTTCTGGCTTTTTTACACTTGATCTTAGCCAAAAGGCCAAGAAGCAGTTTTTTCTGGCTTTTTTTATGAGGTATGATTTAAAAATGCTAAAAAAATTTCTCATTTGAGTAAGTGCCTAAAACAAGAATTCACAACTTTCAAAGGTAAATATTCAAGTAAAACAAAACAAAACAAAATCCTTTGAATTGTGGTTGAAATGGGAGGAAAAAACAGATTCTCTTCCCTCTTTTGCTGTTTAACATGCAGTAGGGGCATAACCATAAGAAATTCTAACCGAAACCTTCCAGTTCAAAAATTATTGACAGTCTTTTTAATTTGTGTGCTAATTATGATTTCCCTGTCCCTGAGCTAAGCCAGTGTTGACCTGTGTACATGATGCTGTCTGTGAAGTGTGTTGGCCCAGTGTCCCTTCATTCTTCTGAATAGCTGAGAAATTATTATTTAGAGGAAGAAGAATACTGCCAGACACCAAGTGTGCATTATTAGGTTCAGGTACTGTGGGGTTTTGACGTGGGGCCATGTAGCAGCTATTTCCTTTGATGAAGTAGCTTTTCCACCCTCAGTGAAGAGATGAGAGACAGTGGGAATCCTTGCTTAATTTAGAATGTGCGAAGCACAGCACGTAGAGCCGCTTCAGAGTACAAAGTTGTGACAAGGAACAAAGTTCCTCTTCCTTTTCTTTTCTCAGCAGTGCTTAGGGAAGTAATGGTACAATATAAAAACGCTATTTGTATTTTTAGCTGTTCCCAGTGAACTCAAAGAACGAGGAGACTTTAACCACGAACGGGGAGAGCGAAAAGTCTGCAGGTTCAGGCTTGACTGGCTGGGAAACTGCTCTGGAATACAGGATGAAAGTTACGGCTACAAAGAAGGCAAACCCTGCATCATCATAAAGCTCAACCGAGTTCTGGGCTTCAGACCAAAGGCAAGTCACGTTTCTGGCAACAGGGTTCAGAGGAGCCGTTCACATTTTGGATGAAGTACTTAATTGATAGGTGAAGACAATATAGGGAAACTCTTAAGGGCCCATGCTGAACCCCCGTCAGAATAACACCAGAATTTTTGTATTTAACCTGAAATTCATAGAGTTTAGGGTATCATTCTCATTTTCTAAAGTTACAAAAATACTGAGTGGCAAAGCCAAATTTTAAAATGAGCCCTATGGTCCTGTTCTTAATACTTCTGCTTAACATCCAGGTGACATTACTATCGTATGGCAACTCTGTAAGTAAAAATAGAAAAGGATATTTTTAAATTTAAAATCTGGATTGGATTCGCCTAGCTTGTGCAGACCCAAAGAAAATCTCCTGGGTGTCCAGCCATATTCTGGTTTGGGACCTCTAGGAGCCATGCAGGTGTCTTAGAAGCTGGTAATCAGAGAAAAAAATGTTTTTTTCTGAATGATGATTTTATTGCACAAAATAGAAATTGAACACCTAAGCTGAATTTTGATAAGCACGCTGCTGGCTTTTTGCAGTTTAAAAGTGTTAAACATTACCCGAGATCACTGGCAAATTCAAATTGCAACTGCTCATTTTCTCATTTTGTAAGAATATATAAAGAGAAGAAAAAAGTATTGGTGTTTCCTCTCTTTTATGAAAGCTCTTTCAGTGTCTCCTCTAAGCAGGGCTTCTGCCAGCAGTTTTTTCCCTGATCATCACGTGAGCATTGTCATTACAAGTTTCTAATTCTGATAGGGATTTTCTGCAGTCCTCCGAGTTATAGGCACAAACCCATTTCATTGTTTTTGTTAGTGAAAATATACCTTATTTTTAATATACTAACTGCCAGCGAAATACTGGTATTGATGTTACAGAAAGAGAAAAAAATACAAGCATTCTATAATAATTTTTCATTTGCCTATTAATGAAATTCTAAAGAAAAAATTCTGTTTAACAGTATGATTCAGGAGTTGAATATTTTGTCCTTGATACAAATATAATTTTAGAGGCCGGAGATTTAGCTCAGTGGTTCTGCTGTCTGCCTTGCCAAGTGCAAGGTCCTGAGTTTGATCGCCGGTACCAAATTGTGTGTGTGTGTGTGTGTGTGTGTGTGTGTGTGTGTGTGTGTATGTGTTCAGTTTGGTTGCCTTAACCTTGATAATTTGTAAAGGATGGATTTTTTTTTTTTGGTTCTGGGGATCGAACTCAGGATCTTACACTTGCATGGCAGGTGCAGTGCCACTGAGTTAAATCCCCAACCCCAAGGATGGAACTTTTAAAAGCCTATAAATAAAAACGAATGCTTCTCTCTTTTTGAATTAAGTATTAATTATAACCAGTGTAAGAAATTAATGGATCAGTTACCTTGATGAAATGTGTGATAAAATGTTCATGAAAAATAATTTCTATTTCCTTTCATTTTTACTTTGTAGTATTTCCTAGGTGGGATTTTTAAATGCACCAAAATAAAAGCTATGTAGCAATTCTGGAGTGATTCAAAACTCTACGGAAGTAAAGATGGCTAAATTCTACAGTTGATCTACTTGTAAGACTAAATGTCAGAATCCTCTTGTATACACATTGCTGTAGGGCTTAAAGTTGTGAAGCCATAGTTACCCAGAAGTCATTTCCTTTTGAAATCCAGCTCTTCTGCTCACTAGTTTTCTACTGAATGCTATTGTTTCTACAATGCTTGTAACTCATAAATAATACTTTCAAAAGAAAACCAATGTAGAGATGAACACTTTTATTAAGGATGCATCAAAGTGTCTCTATTGCCACCAGAGGCGAAAATGGATGAATGTAAGACGGCTGGCTGGCTGGATCTTCTGCAAAAGTTAGTGTACTCCCCACATCTGTAATCTTTCCACTTAGATTAGAATATAATGGAAGAAAAATGGTGAGAACCATCATTCCATACTTATATTTGATACTCATATTGCTAGGGAGCACTGCACTAAGGCCAGTCAGCTCTTTCGGAAGAAAAGGAATCAGTGTGGCATGGCTGAAGACTAAAGCTGCTAATCTCTGGTCTCTTGAGTCCTTTGCCTTTGATATTCCTCATCTTTGACATTCAGTGATGTTTCTACCTCATAGAGCCTCTTCCCACATCTCCATATTCTGTTAAATGATGAATTCAACCTTTTTTTCCCCACTTTTTGCATTTGATCTCTACTTGGTTATCAGTTGCCACTTCTAATTTGTCACTCCCACCCAGATCACCAGCTCTTTGGGCATTGGCACGTACCCTAGCATCTCATTGGTGTGCTTGTGTTCTCATCTTTGGAGGGTAGATCCTGGTGACTTCCTAGATCACTATGCATTTTTCCTTCCAAAAGAGTCTGCTCTTGATAATCATTTTCTTATTTTCCAAAATAAAAGGTAGTATTCAAAATATGAATTCCTTCCTGATGTGAGTGAGGAACTGTGCATTTTATCAGACTCAGACCGGGCGTATGTTAGACCTGCTGTGTGAAGACTTGCATGTCATGTTGACCTGAGCAAGTGGCTGTTCTCCACCACGTCTTCTGTGGTAGATTTGAGCCAGTGATGAAGGAAGGGTAGCTCTCTTTCATGGCAAGTTAGTTTTCAGACTGTTCTCTGGATCCTTTAATGGACTCATCCTTTCTTTTAAGGAACACCATCTGTACCTGTTTTATATATTGAACTTTTCTGTATAGGTTTAGAAAGAAACGTTCCACACAAGGCAGCAGTCCCGCTCCCTGCCGCTGCAGATGAAAAATGGAAAGGAAAACCACCTTGCAGAAGGCACTCTTAAGGGAAAAGGATGGCATTATTTACCACTGGCTCAGAAGGGAAGCCCAAGAATCAGTCAGCTTTCCGGTGTTGTCATTATGATATTGGGAAACAATGAGCATTACCATTGGGCCTCTCATTTTCATTGTCCTCGAGTACGGCTCCAGCTTGTGCTCCCATGAGAAGCTCCACAGGGTACTGAGCTGCGCTCACAAAACTTAGGCACTCGCTTTCCTTCAGCTCACTCCCAGGTGGATTTTTCCTAGATTGGCTGAGGGAGTCATTCATTTTGCTGCCTGGATGGGTTTTATTATTTTGGCTGCCTCATCCTGATCGATGTTTTTCTTCAAAAAATGATGTACATCTCACTGACCAAGGTGGTTTTATCTGTAGCCTCCCAAGAATGAGTCCTTGGAGTCTGTGGAGACGTACACTGGGGCAAGGTACAGCCCGAACGTGCTGCCTGTTCAGTGCACTGGCAAGGTAAGGACGCTTAGGGCTCCCGGGGGAGTGGGAAAGTGGGGCGGGGAAAGGGGGAACCAATGCTTTTTCAAGATGGGGGTAAAATTTAAATATAGCAAACAAGAAATATTGCTTTTGTTTATGAATCTCAGAAAGTTAAGTCTATAACTATAGTGGGTGTAACTTTGAAAGATACAGCAAGAATAAAACCTCGTGTCAGTTTCTCCATTGGTATAAGACACTCAGATACCTGAATGTGTAATATATTGGAATAGAACCGAGAGGTGAACGAACCCACAGAATTGTGCCTAGCCCACAGCATTTGTCAGAAAATTGGGGGCAGCTTTTTTTTTTGAGGTCAGATAAATTTTTTTTGGGGGGGGTGTTTGAGACAGGGTCTCACTATGTAGTTCAGACTGCCCTGGAACTCACTGTGTAGGCCAGGTTGGTCTTGAACTCACAGCGATCCTGCCTGATCCTCCTGCCTCAGCCTCCGGAGTGCTGGGATTACAGACCTGCACCACCACGCCTGGCCTAAATTTTTTTGATACAGCTTTCTTTTAAAAAATAATGGAAGGTACGGGCCAGAGATTTATTTAGTTCAGTGGCACAATGCCTGCCTGGCAAGTGTGTGGTCCTGAGTTTGATCCCCGGTACAACAAAAACCAACCTGGAAGGTTAAGGTAACGATGTTTTCAGCCTAGATCTAAAAGGAGATAGCTGATGACGGTTATTAGAGAGAAAAGGCAGAATAAAAGGACTCTTCGGTGCTACTTGATGCAGACACCAAAAAGGAAACTAAGACCTGAGAGGTGAATAGGGAGAACATGGCGATGGCAGTGCTGGGCGCGGGGCGGAGGAGGCTGTGTTAGCGTAGAGAAATGCTCATGGGGCCTTTGTCTCTGGGTCCCTATTCGCACAATGAAAATAGCCTCCTTCTGTGACCATTTCTCCGGGCTGGTGGGACAGGCTGGATATGTGTTCGTCCCCTGGCATCAGGTTCCTCCAGGGTCTTCCGGCGCTGGCGGAAGGAAGTCTGAGCGAGACGGGTCAGGCTGTTTCCTGCAGCAGCGGCCCGCGCATGCTCCATGGGGTCTCGTCTCATATGTGCATGAAGCATTAATGCTGCGTTTCCCTCTGGGTTTTAGCGAGAAGAAGATAAGGATAAAATTGGAACTGTGGAGTACTTTGGAATGGGTGGATATGCCGGTTTTCCTCTGCAGTATTATCCCTACTATGGCAAACTCCTGCAGCCCAAGTATCTGCAGCCCCTGCTGGCTGTACAGTTCACCAACCTCACCATGGACACCGAAGTTCGCATTGAGTGTAAGGCGTACGGTGAGAACATTGGGTACAGTGAGAAAGACCGTTTTCAGGGACGCTTTGATGTGAAAATTGAAGTTAAGAGCTGATCACAAGCACAAATCCTCCCCACTAGCCATTTAATAAGTTAAAAGATTACGAAAACAAAAACCTACTAGTCTTGAACAAACTGTCATACGTATGGGACCTACACTTAATCTATATGCTTTACACTAGCTTTCTGCATTTAATAGGTTAGAATGTAAATTTAAAGTGTAGCAATAGCAACAAAATATTTATTCTACTGTAAATGACAAAAGAAAAAAATAAAAATTGAGCCTTGGGACGTGCCCATTTTTACTGTAAATTATGATTCCATAACTGACTTGTAGTAAGCAGTGTTTCCAGCCCCTAAGTATTGCTGCCTTGTGTATTTTATTTAGTGTACAGTACTATAGGTGCATACTCTGGTCATTTTTCAAGCCATGTTTTATCATATCTGTTTTCTACTTTATGTGAGCAAGGTTTGCTGTCCAAGGTGTAAATATTCAATGGGAATAAAACTGGCATGGTACTTTCTTTTTTTTTTCTTTTTTGTTGTTGTTTGGCTCTTTCAAAGATAATGGCCCATCAATGAGCAATTTTTAACACACTCCATAGTCTTTCCCTGTGATGTTAGGTATTACTTTTTTTTTCTCCTGGGGCTTGGGGGGTGGGCTGTCATGGGGGAACTGCCCTTTGAATTTTAAGTGACACTACAGAAAAACAAAAAAGATGATGGGTTGTGTTGTGCTTTGTACTGAATGCTGTCTTGACATCTCTTCCCTGGTCCTCCAGTGGGTTCCGAAGCTGTGTCTGAGGTCTGGCTCCACCTGTCACTTTGGATAATGACAGGGCTAATTAGTTTGCTTTGTACATTTTCTTTTCCTTTTTTCCTTTCTCTGGAGGCATCACATGCTGGTGCTGTGTCTTTATGAATGTTTTAACCATTTTCATGGTGGAAGAATTTTATATTTATGCAGTTGTACAATTTTATTTTTTTCTGCAAGAAAAAGTGTAATGTATGAAATAAACCAAAGTCACTTGTTTGAAAATAAATCTTTATTTTGAACTTTATAAAAAGCAATGCAGTACCCCATAGACTGGTGTTAAATGTTGTCTACAGTGCAAACCCATGTTCTAACATATGTAATAATTGCCAGGAGTACAGTGCTCTTGTTGATCTTGTATCAGTCAGGATAAAACAATGGACAATAAAAGAATGAACACATTCCTCGTGTCTGTGATTCATTCTTGTCTAAATGCCCAGTCTGTGGCTTCTTTATTTAATAATACTGCTAATTATCCAAGATCTTGAAGAAGTATTGAACCTGAAAGAAAAACATGATATCATTAACTTACAGACCAAGAGTTGCTTCACACTGAGGCCACCAGGCAACCAAGCACATCCCTTCTCAAAGAGAAGACGCAGTTCAGAACAGGTCGACGCAAGGACTCTTTAGTCTAAAGTTTGATTTTAGAAATATTTTGCGGTGTGAATTTTATAAATCAAGAAATTCTGGTTCTTCCTAGTGTCTCACTGAATATGTCTGTTTTAAAAAAGAGAAAAATATATCATCAGAGTTGAAGTTCAGTTTAAAAACTGAAAGGTTTGAGGTTCAGTAAATTAAAAGGTTTAAAGTTTGCTTTTTGGTTCTATGTTTGGCCTATATGAAAATTTAGCCTTTGTATGAAAGAAAGTAAAAGCTTTCTGAAAAACATTTTCCAGCTCTAATAGAGCTCACGATTGCGTTTCACTTGACCGATATGGGAAATGTCCAAATTAAAATCATGGCGTCACATTCCCGAAAATGGAAACCTCCCGCCAAGCCTGTGCAGCCGTAGCTCTCGCAGCTCCTTTCTGCTTGGGGCTCATCCCCCAGAGGTCCTCGCACATATGAGGAGCACTGAAGGCAGCCTGGGCTGGTTCTGTCATACGACTGGGTTCAAAAATACCAGGAAAGCTCTGGTTGCCACCAGCTACTCTGCATTTATAACTGATTTGCCTCTCCTGTTTATTCTTTTTAATTATTACCCAGCGACTGCTTCCTACAGCAGCGCTGATGGTGAATTAATACCAAAGGAACTGTGACTCACAAGTAGCGCAAAGCAACTGTTTAACTATAAAGTTTCGAGGTGTTCTCAATAATTGAGGAAATAACAAAACCCACAAACAGTCTTTTCATGAAACTGGGTTTCTCAGAAAGGGACCCACATATGTACAGAAATAGATGTTGCTATAACAGAAGATGGTTTATTGAAACGTTAGCTCATCTTGCAGGGTGTAAATGAATCTTAAGTACATGATGCTTTTCATAAGGTAATCGGGCCTGGGTCTGTGAGAAGAAAGTTTATTCACATTGGAGGCGACTTAGTATTTTGGAGGCCATCCAGAGGTTTCCATTTGTACCTGCACCTGACATGTGAGCTGCTATGTGTGGCTCTGCCTACCCCTTCAGCTTCTCTCCAGATCTTGCTTCCCATGACATCTCCTAGTTGTGCCAACCTATTCCCAGCTGTGATCTTTAGGGTTCTGTCATGGCTGGGAGAAGGGCAATGTGATTTGTATAACCTGACTCCGCAGATATTTACTGATTGCCTACCATCACTCTGCTGTGCTGAGTGCTCTTCTAAGGGGAGGACTGGAGCCAGTGTACAAAACTGACAAACCTAGTTTTCCTCTGCAGCCAGTACTTGGATAGTTAAGTACTTGGGTATTTCTGGCATTCTTGCTTCTATGAATTCACTGTGTCTCTTTGTCTATGATCGGTTTATTCCAACACTAGGCACATTTTCCTGAGCTTAGGAAGAATGTCTACCTCCCTGGGGAAGTTTTATCCCTTTCAGGAAAGGAGTTTCACACAATTCCAGCTACTTCCTCATACAGAATACAAAGAGAATGGATTTTCCAAAGGCAGTGTTTCCCAAAAGTGGGCTGAGTACAACTTGGAATAAAAAGCACTGAAGTAATTAAAAGTAGAGAGAAAAATCGATGCTCTTTTCCAGCCATCATAATCCCTGAATGGGAAGTGTAACTTGGCGGTAGAAGGTGACTGTACCCCAGGAAAGTCTCCCAAATACAGGCAGGCAGGACCTTGGCTCAGGACCTTTGGTAAGCAACAGTACCTAGCTACAACTCGATAACCTTTGTTTTCATTGTTACCTCAGTACAAGCAATACTAGCTTTCTCCCATTTATGGCAGAAAAAATTCGTTCATGTATAGCAGTAAATAGATTTAAAGAGAAATGTAAAAAAATTTCAGGTGGTACTTAAATATGGTAAAACTCATGAAAGTGACAAATGGCTAAAACAGAATTTTTTGCTTGGAAGTATATCACAAAAGGAGCCAAATTTAACTGTGTACCTATTTGGGCAAAATTTAACTTGAATCCTATCAGTTTTAGAACAGTAGCATTCTCTGTCTCCTCTAGCTGCACTTATTACAGGAGAGAACTGCTCCAATTCTAAATTAAAACCACTATCAGTGATCAGAAATGAAAGCCCCCTTATCACAGTCTTTCAAAGCTCAATAATAGCAAAACCCGGCTTTCAAAAGGATCAGTAACACTCCCTTATCTATGAGTAGTTGGCCCATGGGAGCGGGGTTACCTTGGTGATCCAGGTCGAAGGGCCTTGTGCATAGAGAACAAACTACCCAAGGAACATTTAAGAACAGTTTTAATCAAGTTAAGTAAAGGGACCTTGGTTTCAAATTTCATAGAGAAAGTGTGACTCTTTTTAAAAACAGGGCTAGCATTCGCCAGGATGACAAGAAATAGAAAATGGGCCTGTTATTCCTCTGCCTGATGGTGGCAGTTCACACCCATCTCATTCACTGTGAAGCAAACAGGGCTGGGCCAAGGCAGTATCTTGGTTTATGCTTTAGTCTGAACTTCTCTCTCAGAGACTTTAAGCATCAGTCTGTTCACCAGACATGGACTCTCCATGACTACAGAATCCAGCCATGTCATGAATCCCATACCCTCAAAGCAAAACAAAAAGCCCATAGTCTAAAACATTTGAACATACTATCTCCAGAATGCCCTACAACAAAGCCTTTCTCATAAACAGGTTTCATAAAATCAGGAGACTTAGGCAGCCTTTGAGGGGCTCCTGTCTCCAAGGACAACACTTGTTGTGCCCTTGAGAGTTGACCTTACACAGGTCAGGTAGGAGGTGGACGGGGTGCTGGATACAGTCATCTCTGAGGCTGTCTTTTGGTTTGAGTCCCTCGGTGAACAAAAATTTCATCCCTGTGAATGAAATATCTTAGTCCCCATGACTTGTTACAGGAATTCATGGTTAAGAACTTAGCAAACAGTCCTGCAAGAATGAGATGTTGGACGCAGCTGGACAAGGAGAAGGCCTCGGGGAGGTGCTGCTGATTCTGCAACGCGGCCTCTGGGACCAGCACAGACTGTGCCACCTGATGGTTTAGAGGAGTCTGCAGGAAAACATGGGAGATGAGAGATGGTCATGACTACCGAAATCCTTGCCTAGAGACGGATTTTCTGTCATTTGTCACAAGGTACCCAGTACTGACTGAACTGGGAGATAACAATTGTTTATTTGTAAACCAAACTTAAGCACTGAGGTTGCATTGTGTTGGAAATGTACAGTAAGTAAGGGCTTTGGGTTTCAGTCTGGACACTTAGGTCTCCAAACGTTTCCCATCACTGTAGACCATTTTCATCGGTAGGGTATCTACTTCCCTTTTCCCTTCTGCCACTCACTTAACTAACGTGTCAACCACATCCCATCTGCAATACTTGAAAGATGAGTGAGATCTGGCTCAAGCTAACAGTCCGAAAGAAGAAAGCCTATGTGATCAGATAAAATCACTATAGTGTGCTAAGACAAATGGAAATGACTGGGGACCCAAAATCCTTCATAAAAAATTGTGTGTGTGTGTGTGTGTGTGTGCGTGTGTGTGCTACTGGGTACAGAACCCAGGGCCTTTGTACTGAGCTACAGCCCCAGCCCTTTTTCATTTTTTATTCTGAGGTGGTCTCACTAAGTTACCCAAGCTGGGCTTGCATTTGGAATCCTCCTGCCTCAGCCTCCCAGAGTGCTGGGATTACAGACACGTACCACCATAATGGCTAACAGGGTGTTGAGTTTTAAATGCATTCGTGTTTTCAACAGGAAACCAACTTTCAACTCACCAGGGTTGCTAAGCCAGCTCTGGCTTCATGGGCCTATCATCTGCTGTCACACAGGACTACATGTTCAGGAAAGCATGGCTTATTCCACCATCACTATCTTCAAATCCATAATGAATTTTGAACAGAGGGTGCCACGTTTTTATTTTGCACTAGATTTTCTTTTAGCCAAGGGCCTCTGTGAGGGCTCCTTTAGAAAGGTTATCCTACTGGCTGAATGGAAGAGGAGGTCAAAAGAGCTTGTACAAGCTCTTCCTGCATTTACAAGAAGCAACACACGTGGGGCAGGTCAGGGACGCTGCAGTGGGAGAGTGGGAATGCCCCCAGCAGGAGGCTGTCCGCCAGTGAGCCTTGAATTCTTCCTGAAACTTCCTTTTCTAGGCACTAGGGATTGAACACTGGGCCTTGTACATGCTAGGCAAGCACTCTACCACTGAGCCACAGCCCTCTCTGTGCCTTTTGGTTTTTAGTTTTGAGAGATTCTCTAAGTTGCTCGGGCTGGCCTTGAACTTGTGATCAGATGCCTCTGCCTCCTGAGCAGCTGGTGTGCACAGGTGTGTACCACCGTGCCTGGCCCTGCCAGAGCTTTGTTGGGTTTCCTCCTGTTTTGTCTTCCTTCTCCCGGATCTTAGTTATTCTTAGCACCCAAAATACTCAGAAGTGGACGGTTGTGAGGAAGAGTGGGACCAGACAGGATGGGGCAGGAAGTCTAGAGTTCTCCAGAGAGAAACATTCAATTTGATAAAAAGGAGATACAAAGTCTGACCTCACCTACTGTTGTAGCAACAAAGCCCCAAAAGCCCTTAGGCTGTGTATTCCCATAAATCCATGCTGTTTTTTTTTAAAAAGGAAGGAATAACTTAGACATAAGAGTATTTCATATACACCTCTCTTCTCTGTAGGTTAGGTTTTATTTCAAATGTTTGAAGGCAAAATAAAAATTTCACATTCAAAGGACCACATGCTTCAGAATTTTGGAAACCCAAACATCCTCTTGATTCTTCTGATTGCCACCCACTAATGAGAACAACTGCCTCTCTACAGCTATAAAATAATTACTCCTCAACCCAGACTAGAGTGGAGCTGACCTTTCTCTTTATGGAAAATAGATCATTTGTAAAAAAAAAAAAATAAGACTGAGGAGACCTTATAAAAAATTCACCCCCAA